CATCTGCTGCAGCCCGACTGCCAAGCCCTCTTCCTGACCCCCCTGGGGGCTGGGGAGGAGCAGCAGCAGTGCCTGGCTGCCAGCGTGCCCCGCCGCATCTGGACACCAGCAGTGACTAGTGGGACCACATCATTCTGGAGCGCTGAGACCAACAATGGACCCAGAACTTCAGGATGAAGAAGGACACCTTCCTTGAGCTCTGTGAGTGGCTCGCCCCTGCTCTGCAGCAACGGGACATGAACACAAGGCCCACCCTTCCCCTCCACAACAGTGTGGCCATCGCCCTCTGGAAGCTCTCCACGCCGGGAATGAGGGTGGGAGAGGTGAGGGATAAACCTGGGAGGAGGGAGCTAGAAGGGGGTGGAGAAGCTCAGGGTTGGGGGTCTTGCTGGTCCACCTGTCTCCCAGCACTAAGGGTGTGGGGGCCTTGGCGTCCCTGGGGGGGGGGGAGGGTATGGAGGATGGGAGGGGTGAGGGAGAGGATGAAATGGGAGGGGGAGCAGGAGTGGAAGGAGGAGTGATAGCTGGGGCAGCCACCGGGGCTGGAGCAGCAGCAGGCAGCAATCTCTGCACCAGGGTCTGCAGGTGGTCGTGGATGGCATGCCCCTGGTCAACCAGCTCCCACAAGCTCTCCCACCACAGCTGCAGGTCTTCCTGCAGCCAGTGCTCCTGGCAGTGGACCTGCCTTTGCAGTAACCCCAGGTGCTGCCGCTGGTACTCCTCCTGGTTCCGGGTGAGCCTGCTGAGGGCCCGGGTGCAGGAGGATGTCCTGGGAGCGGTGGTGCGCCCTGCACTCGCAGCTGCAATGGAGTGCCGGATATTTAGCAATTTCGGCGTGACTAATCTATATCTCTTTGTGGACACAGCAGTGTAGTCTAGACACAGCCTAGGGTCCCCCTTATATCTTCATCTCCTCATTTGAAAACTCCTTGGTTAGCACAGGTAGGATCAACCCATTTTCAACAAGGCTTCATAAAACCTACTACGCAGAAACTAGAAAAACTTAAACAATGAATAGTCTAGTAGAACCTTAAAGACTAACAAAACATGTAGGTGGTAACATGAGCTTTCATGGGCAAAATCCATCCAGAAACTGACACGAAAGAGCAAATTCCAAGACCTAATGACAAATTGCTGCGTGCTCTGTGGTCAGCAATGACCACAGGCACGGTCCCTGGTCTCCTTTTCCCTCCCCGCCCCCCATCCCGCATAAGGGGACAGTGATGGCACTCACATGTCAAGGCCTCCCTGGCCTCCAATGACACAGGTGACAGGCTTGCTGGGATGGTTCGAGGGTCCTGGGTGTGAGGCATGCTCCCTCAGGCTCCTGCAGCTCCTGGCCATCCTCCTCCTCCCTCCTGGGTATCATGGCCAGAGCCCTCTGCCCCAGGGTCAATGACCACCTGGGGGCACAAACCATCTGACCCCCCCAGGATGTGGTCCAGGGCATCATAATAGGGGTAGGAGTCTGGGTCAGCCCCTGGTTGGGAGCTGCCCCCTGAGGACCTGGCGTAGACCTGCCGCAGCTCTTTTATTTTCATGCGCACCTTCTCCTGGGTGTGCATGTGGCCTTTGGTGGCCAGGCTGTCAGCCTTCCACCTGTAGATGGCCGTGTTCTTGTGTCTAGTGTGGAGATTGTGGACTTTGAAGGCCTCCCCCCAAACCTCAATGAGGTCCATGATCTCCGCACTAGACCACAAAGGTGCCCGCCTTTTGTGGCCCCTGGCAGGCTCCTGGGAGCTGCCAGCCTGCTCCTGGGGAGTGGGAGGCGGCTGAGTGCCAGTGGGTTGCTGGCTCATGCTGGGCCAGGTACACGGACTGCTGGCTCTGGGCTGGCAGGCTTGCAGTTGGCACAGGCACTGTGGCCTGAGTCTGCCCCTTTAAGGGCTCCGGAGCTAGTGTGGGAGCAGAAGAGTTTTCCTGGTTTGGTCCAGAGTGGCCACCAGGGCACCCCGGGAAGGGCTGGAGGCCCCATATTTCGAAATAAGCATCTAAACAGTGCTTATTTCGATTTAGCTATTTCGATTTTGGCGTTATTCCTCATGGAATGTGGTTTACCAAAATCAAAATAAGTGCTCCACTATTTTGAATTAATTTTGAAATAGTGGTTTGGCTGTGTAGATGCTAGGAAAGTTATTTCGAAATAATGGCTGTTATTTTGAAATAACTTTGCTGTGTAGACATACCCAAACTGAGCAAACTTTAAGCTTGTAGGTGGTAATGAGAAAAAATAAGGTGTTGGAGGTAAAACTGTAAATGGATGGAGTGCTCAGGAGTGGATGAAAAGTAACAGAGGGTTGGGAAATGAAACTATACTTAGAAGTGGGCCCAAGCCCAAACCCTAGATTAAAATCCCCTGAATGGTTAGGAAGGTTTAGAATCAGAGACAAAGTGTGAGACTAGCACCTCTCTCTGTAGAGGACATAACAGACTATCAAGTGAGAGCAGGAGTGGGGCTGGCTATGTGTGGGGGAGCTGAGGGTTCCAGGTTCTGTAGAGTGCAGGGTCACTAGGAGCTTGATGAGAGATGTGAAGTTTGCTAGGTGCTGCTGGGAGATGAGGGTCAAGGCCATGAAGCCTGAGACAAAAACCTTCCTCTCCTGTCTTCAAATTATACAGACTTCTAGGAAGTAGGTGGAGGAGAAAACACTTCCCTCCCCTACTTCTCTCAGCACGCTGTCAATTCCATATCCTACTGAAGCAGAGCTTCTTTGAAGCTGAGTAAAGAAATAGGAGGGAAAAAGCTACTGCAGTAGAGACTGCATGGCAACAGTAGAAGGGATTCCACCCCCCCCCATCTCTGACACCCTGAAACTCCTGTCCCAATTCCCTGACAGTCCCAGTTAAACAAGGGATATCAAATTTTGATTATTTGGCTAATCAAATAGTCGATTCAATTAGTTAATAAGGGCACTTCTGCCTTTGAAGTGTAGCAGGGTTGTTGCTACACTTCAAAGGTGAAAGTGCCGCAGAGAACCCGGGAGGCAGTGGGGGACTCAAGCAGTCCCTGTGCTCCCCGCAGCATTTCAAAACAGCAGCACCATATGGAGCCTGAGGTCAGCAGGGGAGTCCCCAGCTGACCCCAGGCATCAAGCAGTGCTGCTGCTTTGAAACACCTTCTTGAAACATCTTCTGGGTCCAGCTGGGGACCCCGGGCTGCATATGGTGTTTCAAAGCGGCAGACCACAGGCTCCACACAGCGCTGCCACTTTGCTGCACATAGCATTTCAAAGCAGCAGCGCCACATAGAGCCCGGAGTCTGGCCCCAGGCTTCACATGGCGCCACCACTTTGAATCCCCTCCCCCAGTTCCTGCCTCTTTCTGATAGCAGCAGCAATGTGGGGGGAGCAACCAGTTAACTAGCCAGTCGACTATCTGATAAGCATTTGCTTATCGGATTGTCGACTAGTCATTCACATCCCTAAGTCAAGCACCAAGCAACTAATCCAGGATAGGTCTGGACCTACCTGCTCCCCACTAAACAGATGGAACACTGATCTATTTTCAGAAATCTTTACTCTGCACCACCTGCTTATTTATCAGCACCTACTTCTGATCAGCCCTAACCCAGAGACCCCACACCACTATGCTTCCTCAGCTCCCAGCTCTATCCACCCTGCCCCTGCACACATACCAAACACAGGTTAGAAATCACTTGTTGCAAAGAACAGTAGGTTGGATTGAATGAGGTTATGCGAGGACACTGTGGCATATTTTGAGTTCATGGGAAGAGAAAAATTGATTCAAATACTCAGAAGTTCAAGTGAACTTAAAATTCCAGTCTGATTTTTGCACATCCACCATCATAACCAGAAAGTTATCGCATATTAATAAAACCTATGGGTGACAGAGGATTACAGAAACATAGCAGGATATCCGGAAGTATATCAAAGGAAACACTTGGGGATATTGTGGTGGGGGGTGGAATTTCCTGGGAATGTGATTTTTTGCCTGTATATCAACCAATGAAGTCCTCAAGATTTCAGTGACCTTTTCATTGGAAAAAGATTGGATATGCCCCTCTCTACAGAGCCATTCAGTGCCACTCTAAAGAATAAGAAGCGAGCCTATGAGTGACATAAGGCACTCCCTTTCCTGTAAGGCTGAGCATGCTGCCTCCACCATGCCCAGCCTTGGATGAGGACTAAAGCTCAGAATGTCGTGAGTTTCCAAGGTGGCTGACTACTCAGCTAGATAGGGAGTGTTGTTCTAAGTGCTCTCAGCAGGGCCTTTGTGTGGGAAGCTAGTTCTTCCTTTGATGCTTTTCACGACTGACTTGTCAGTGCTGAGGAAACATGATATTTATGTAAGAGTAAGATGCAAGGCCCACAATAGAAAGGAAAAAGAAGCACGGCCCTAGAGAAGTACTTGATGGGGGCGTGAGAAAATGTTGTTTACGCTCTATTGATACTCTACTACTCGTTTGTTATGTTTAGAAATTGTTAGAGACGTGTCAGAGCCACAGGCTCCTCCATAATTATGTTTCAGGGTTTCTTGTACCTCCTTCCAAAGCATATCGATTCTATCTATGCATTCGTTTTATATTGCCACCCATCACCGGAGAATCTGACCAGTTTAAATGTAAAGTAGATTGGCAACAATGAAGTCGCTAGTGGATTTCATGGAGTCTCTGGCTCATCTCTATTAAAAGTTATTTGGGTCAAATTAAACTGTGTGTGATTGATTTGTTAGTATATGACAGGGAAGAGGGTTGGGGTTTGCTTGTTTGTTTTCAAGGTGCTGATCTTTGATCTGCTCCAGTATCACAATTCTTATATTCCACAATGTTTGAATCCAGATCTAAATTTCACCTGAATTCAGGGTTGTTTATATCAAGAGATTTTATTTTGCCCAGAACAGAAATAGGTATAAACCAGGAAATTGAGATATTGACCAAAATTTGTCCAAAGATCAGGGCCATTTGGATCCTGGATTCTGGTTCAGGTCTCTCTGGCAGTTATGTTAATATTTTGTGTTTCTCTTGCCCCTATTTTTCCTAGATAAATAAACAAGAAACAAACACGGAAAGCTTCATTTTCACAACTTCTCCAATAAGGGACATCGCAACAACCAGACTTCCAGTCCTGGAAATGATCAGCAGTGAACATGGATTACAAGCAGAACATGTGACTTTACAAAGCTGCACTGCTCACGATGTGCTCCATGATCAGAAAGAGAGAAATCAGCAACCACCATGCTGGGAACAAAGAGTTAATATTACAAGTAACAACTTTTTTTAAAAAAAAAGTCTTTCGAAGCATCAGGGCTGGAGCTAGGACTTGGGATGCGGGGAGAGAGCAATTACATGGTACCAAGCACTCTCTCACTCTCTCATGTGCTTGGCTAACTGGTTCTTGCTCACATGCCCACAGTCTAACTGATCACCATATGTGAGTCAGGAAGGGATTTTTCCCCAGATCAGACTGGCAGTAATCTTCCATGGGGATCAGGGAGAGGGCTCACATTTCTCTGCAGCATGTGGGTTCAGGACACTCGCCATGATTGTCTAGGTACCATGTAATCATTTTCCTGCTATGGTGGGAGCCTCATGCCAATGCCATAAGTAGGTATTTTTGCACCAGGGGCAAAATATTAATCACCTGAGGTTAGCATGCATTACGCTCATTGCTTTTGCAGCTTATTATTTTTACTTATTGTGTATTTGCGCCCATGATTATGATGCATCCAGGGTGAGCACCCCACTTGCCCCACCCTTGTTAAAGCCCTTCCATAAGCACTTGTGCACCTCCGTCCTTCCTATTCTCTGCCCATGGCACACTAGTCTCATCTCCAGTGGGCTGCAATGTTATGTTCTTGTTTGGTGGTTGGGTTTAACGTGCGGATGCTGGGCGGTGTTAGTGGCCTGTGAGATTACAGAAGGTCAGACTAGAGGATCTAGTCCAGTCTGATCTTAAACTCTATAAGCTTGATCCATTAGCTTGTTTTCTTCAGGCTGTTGCTATTACTCATAAGTAAGATCTTTTATATGCTGTTCTGACCACAACAGAGCTAAGTGACGGACAAGGGGACAGAGAAAAAACGCGTGGTGCTCATGAAAAGAGTGGTACAGATACCATCTGTGATGAGCCTCAGTGCGGAATCTCTGATTCATCTTCAGCCCATGACAAGCTACTGAAAGCTCTTTCTGAAGAGGATTCAGAATGTCACCTCACCTGTGAAAATAGGGAGCTCAAAAGCTTAGAAATCAGTCCTGGTGTGGTCAAAGCCACAGTACTGACTTTTAAGGCAGAGGCCTGTACTGAATATCCTGTGGCGGTGAATATAACAGAAGACAATGAATCTGTGTCAACACCAGCAACTGAACTAAAAACAGCAATGGAGAGTTGCAGTGATTCTGGCAGCCTATTAAAAACAGATGAAGCATATAATGGTACATCCATAAGAGACACTGCTGTCAGACAAACTCTAGAAACAGGTGGCATGTACCCATGCTCTAGCACTGGAAATAAAATAGAAGAACCATCCACTCCTATTTTAAAAAATGATATCTTAAAAGCTGAGGAGAGGCTGGAACAGAAGCCAAACAAACCATTAACTGATGATAACGGAGCTATTCAAATGACTACTGCCCAGGGAGGAAAGCTTGCTTCTAATAATTCTTCTGAATCTCATAATGCAGAATCTCCTCTCAGATTAAAAAAGGCTCAAAATAGTCATTTAGAACAAGACCAAGAACACTTAACTTACATACCAGATAGCTATATTGGTCAATTACCTTATACAAAACAGAATATGAGAATAAAAGATCAGATCATTAAATGTGGAGATGAACTCCCTACTAAAGACTCTCATGTTATACACAGCTACCCAGATTCTATTTATCTCCACGATCTTGTGCAAAAAGTGGATTTATCCAGTAATTCTTCCTGTGAAAATATCAATCACTTTACAGGTAAAAAGTACTTTTCTGCTGAAGAAGTTAGTAAAAGTTCTGAAGAGAATTTTCGGGGAAAAGGAAATGAGTCAGATCTAAATGCACAAAATGACAGTAACTGTAGCACTTACTATCTTACATTATCTCTTACAAAAGATAACAATAGTAAAGATTTCCATTGTGTATCTGATGCACAGGACTGCAGTTACATTAGACAGCTAAATAATTTAATTAGGAGCCCTGAAACTGTAATATATGAAGACAGACTGAAAAATCCAGATCAAAACAACAATAGGGCAGAGATAGATATGCAGCAGGTAGGGGTCAACTCATTGTCTGAGGAGCAGTTTTTAACGGAAATGTTGTTAGGAAATCCCAGAGATAAAGAAAACACAATGGGTAGAGAAAAGAGAGATGTTGGAATAGATGAGGGACAAAATATTACAACTTTAAGTGTCCCAGAATTGGACAGTATTTCAGAAATTCAGCCTCTAAATTCTCAGCAGGGAGCATCAGAAGGAAACACAATTATCCTTGACCATGGCTGCAAGATTGTGAGAAAGTTAAGAATGGATTCTTCAGCAGGCTCCACTTATGAATCTGTGTCTGTAGCACCAGCTAGCATCTTTCAGCCTGTAACTAGTGTTGGGAATGGAAATAATAGTACTGCAAGTCAAGACTGTGGAGATGTTGCTGACAAGGTGGCTAGTTCCATCCTTTGCACCCAACAAAAAAAATTACAAGAAACTTTAACTGTCTCTATAGAACCCATGAGCCAAACAGAAGGATCTACTATTAATGCACTGGTAAAGGGATACTCAAGCGTAGAAAGCCTAGTGCCGTCTGAATCCTTGCAAATGGTTATTAAGGGAAATGAACATTTGAACCAGCTGGAAAGAACAACTGAACTATTGCAGGGCCAATGTCATACAACAGTCAAAGAAAACAAGGATGAAACAATCTTGTATGGAAGGAAAACAGAACAAATTCAAGAAGCCGTTGAATATAGCCTAGATGAAGGTGAAGTGGAGCCTTATATGCGTGCTTTGATTACTCCAGAGGAAGAGGAACATATTATCAGTTATAATAGTGGACAGTCTGATCCACCCCTGCCTCCTTCTGATCAGCAAACTGGAACACCCTGTCATGCATATGGGAATGAAAATACAATTAATGCCACTGAACATCACAAAACCAAACAATTCAAAGGTGATGGGAGTCGAAACAGGATTTCATCAGATGCTGTAACAGAAAACTTAGTTAGTATCCCAAGATATGCCTCAGAGAATAGCCAACATTTTCAAGAGGAGCTGCCAGAGAGCAAATCTCAGCAATTCTCTTTAGCATCGACCAAAGCTGATCCATTCACAGCAAGAGAAGTGGAGACAAAAACTCAAGAGGCACAAAAACCCTGCAAGCCCTTACTTGTCAAGCCTGAGTATGGTAAGTGTCAGCAAGAAACAGAAAACAGTGAACATTCCACTGATGGGGATAAGAAGAAAATGTTGTCAAAGGTGCTGTCTAAGAAACCTCATCTAGAAGCCAAGGAAAACCCACTCAGCAAGAACTCCAATTGCACTAAAAAGGCCTGGAAAGCCAATGCAGGCATAATTCACAGGGAAGAGCAAAGAAAACTACCTGCTAAAAAATACAGCAAAGGTAGGAGGGAACTGTCTCTCTATTGTTTTCCCCGTTCACATCCCTCAGGCTACAATATGAATGTCAAAGAGATTTCCAACGCACCACAAGACTCCTTCAGCTAAACTAAATCAACTAGAGACGTCGTGCATGAATTTATGAAAAATTCCATTCTCAGAAGTAATAACCACTGCTATCCCAGGCTGCAAATTTGCTCAGTCCCTGGCTACCCTTAGTTGACAAATGTATCTCATTTTATGAATTGATTATATATGATGATTATTCAAACAGAATCCTTGCAATATGATACCAAACAAAGTAGTATCCTGTTATTCTATCCTGCAGCGGGTTGGTTTCACAATTGTGCCACCACCCTGTGGCTCTCCAGTGAAATTACACTGTATTATGGACCTAAATTGCTTATATTGCTGGTACACTGTTCCTGTTAGTTATGTATTGCTGTGCATATACATAACAATTTGCAGAAAAGTAAGATGAAAAAAGGTCGAGTTCTGCGCTTGCTTACAATGAATATAAATCCTGAGTGATTCTGCTGAGTTAATGAAATTAAACTGGCATTAAATCAGTGTAAATAAAACGAGGCCCAGTTTCTGACCCAAAGAGCTTACAGTCTGGAAAGATAAAACACAAAGAGCCAGCAGCATAAAAATAACACAATTAAGCATTTATGGTTTGCATAAGACTTTGCTAGGTCCTTTTCATTTTTTAAAATTACATTTCACATTCATGTTGTTAACCCAAACTAAACATAAATCATTAATAGGTCAGGCATGGGACCAGGAATGGAGAGTGACTGAAAAGAGGCTAACAAGCCATTCAAAGACTCTAAACAAACTAGTAATCTATCTGAAAGCTCTATAACTAAGATGGAAGTCGACCTAGCCAAAGTGCTCAGGGCTGTAACAAATTTCAGAGTCTGTATGATGTACCTAGGTTGGCCTACTCTTCAGTGTAGATGCAGCTAGTTTGATGGAGGAACTCTTCTGTCGACCTAGCTACTGCCTCTCAAAGAGGCCAGTTATCTGCACTGATGGAAAAATCCCTTCACTCAGTAAAGAATGGGCCATTTAAGTCTCTGCCAGAGCACTACGCCATGCACTCTGAGGACAGGTTGCCCTTGCACCTTCGGCCCTACCTCTTCTGGGTGCACAGAGCCACCTCCTGCCTTGCCCAAGAGGACATGGAGGCTGTTGGCTTCACTGATAATAAACCAAAATAGAGAAACCTGGTCCATTCCACTTTGCAGGCTTAGGCAGAACATTAGCATTCACCCTTTGTTTGTTATGTTTCCACATGAATGTTAATAGTGAGTCCTGAACATGTTTTTAATGTCATTTCAGGGATATCAACAGGGAGGCTCTGAAACAAAAATAATAACTTTGGGAGAACATTCATCTTTATCAGGGCTACTCTACCTAGCCAAGAAATTTCATATTTGTTCCATTCCTCCATTCCTCTTATTATTTTAGTCCACATTGGAGGGTAATTTGCCTTAATATTTATTCTTAATATTTTAGATTCTTTTACCCATTTATATGTATGTAGCTGACATTTTAGGTCCCTTTAAAATGGCAAGGTAGAAATATTATTTTCTGATCCTAAACTGTCAATATTTAATTTTTAAGCCCCCACGCTACTGAAGAAAATCCATGCCGAGCTGTTCTCTGATTGTTCTGGAAATATTAAATTATGCTGTCAGTTTGGGGAAATTCATGAAGACTCCATCATTACATGGACTAAAAATTCAAAGTTAATAGCTCGAGTGTATAAAAGGTAAGAAGGGATCTTAACTGGAACTTCCTAAAATATTTTGAGATTATAATTTGAGGGGAAAAAATTAAATGGTCTAATGATAGGCTCTTGGTGAGAGAACTGAAGTGATAAGGTGGGGAAAATATACAGAAAATCCCCCACAAAGTAAGCAGATTTTACAGAGCGTATTGATATCAAACATTATTTCCCTCCTTCGAGGTAGTTCCTGTCTGTTCACATTAGCTGTTTTATATTTGTTCCATTACACTGTCAGCTACTGTGCAAGAACGTGCTAAGGTGAAATTCCAGCAGCTAGGCCAAATGATATAAACAAGTCTGGCAAAGATATGAGAAACTGGAAGATATGAATCTCTGAGTTCTAATAAAAGCAGCTAATAGGCAAGGAGCAGCTTTGAGGAACAGGAGAGGTTACATCTCTTAAACTTTTAGTTCTGTTTAAATGAACCTTTAAGCTGACAGGTATTGGATATGAGCGAAAATTGTCTCACTCCTTAACACAGCCAATTATATTATATCTGGGTGGCTGAGCAGCAGTGCAGTGAGAAGAGTAGAAAATAAAAGTTTTATCTATGCAGGAGAGTTAGATACCTGCCCCCTTTTGAAGATACCACTAAGGCCAGATCTATATTGGGGGGAGATAAGCAAGTATGAGCATAGCTGGAGTTGACGTACCTTAAACTGAATTTCTGCAGCAGCCCCACAGAGGGAGGTCAATGGGAGAAACTCTCCCATTGACTTCCCATACTCCTCATGACCCCTTGGAGTACCGGGATTGATGGGGGACACCATCAGCATTCTATTTAACGGGTCGTTACTAGACCCACTAAATTGAACTCCAGAAGATTGATCTCTGCTGCATCAATCTCTGGGTAAATATAGACATGGTCTAAGCATATGTAGGCACCTAAATACCTTTCCAAATATGGCCCTTCATCCCCAATGAGACTTAGACTCCTTAGTGCTTATGTGACTTGAAAATAGAACTTAGGATGGGCTCTTCTGGAATTTTTACTCCCTGTCTTCCCATCCCTTCAGCCTTTTCATTATGCCCTTTCAATCCACCTCTCTGGTCAGTCAGAGTACATCTACACTGCAATAAAAGGCCCACGGTGCAGCTGCAGCTGGCCCAGGTCAGCTGACTGAGGCTTTACAGCACAGGCTGTGGCGCTATAAAACTGCAGTGTTGACATTTGTACTTGAGCTCTAGACCTTCACCTTACACCAGGTCTCAGAGCCAGGAGTCCAGCACTTTTATAGCTCCACAGACTGAGCGCCACAAGCATGAGTCAGCAGACCCAGCTCTCTGAGACTTGGTGCCATGGTTTCTTTTTAAGAGCCATGTAAACATATCCATAAAATCACAGAAATGCAAGAATGGAAGATACCTTGTGAGATCATTTAGCCTAGTCCCCTGCACTGGGATATAACTAAGTAAATCTAGAACTTGTACACCTAGTCTCGTTGCCATATAGATAGTATGTTCTTCAGTTTACAGACTGTCATAGACTACAAAATGGAGCCCTACGTGGATACAACATTTGTATCTGCATCCATATCCACAAAAAATGAGCCACAGATATCCACATCCATCTCCATAGATGCAGATACAAAACAATTTTTCGGGGTTCTAGTTACAAAATTTGTATCTGCATCTACAAAAATGAGCCATGGATATCCTCATTCATATCCGTGGATGCAGATACCTGAGGATATAAAGCAGATAGCCACAGATTTGCAGAACTATAATTATACATTAATATAATACCCAGTACAAAGGACCCACAATACTAATGGGGCTTCTTTGGACACCATCGTAATACAATTGGTGAATAGCAAATAGTGACGTTATCTGATGCCTGTTCCTGAAGGCAGCCCTTCCAAAAATAGCATTGCGGCACTGGATCAACAATGATCCAAGAGTGGCATAAAACTGGTGAGCATAACTGAGGGCATGTATGAGAACATGAACTGAGCAGGCCTCCAAAACTCATCAAATCACAACTGATGTACCATTCTTAGCTCCTCCTTTGTAAATGATGCTGTGGAGTGACAAATATATAATACAAATGAAAAGTTGAAAGGGAGAATAGCTGATAACATATTATAATAAAGCTTTGTTACCCAGCATGTTGGAGGATTTGTTTCTAAGTATACCGAAAAATATAGTTTTGGGGTATGTCTACACTACAAGGGAAATAAGTTATTTCAGAATAATAACTCACGATATAACTATTTTGAAATAGCACGTCCACACTACAGGGAAGCCTCAAAATTAGTCTGAGGCAGTCTCTCCTAATGTGGATGGGCTACCTTGACTTAGAGCCCTACGAGGCACTGGGGAGTAATTACTGTGAATGCCCCCCTGGGAAGGAGCTATCTCAAAATAGCAGCAGTAGAGCATACACGCTACCACTATTTCGAAATAGCTATTTCAAAATAGGCATTATTCCTCATGAAATGAGAGTTTATTATTCTGAAAAAGAAGCTTGTTATTTCAAAATAATGGGCTTGCTGTATGGATGCTTACTTTGTTATTTCAAAATAATGTGAGTATTTCAGAATAACTCTGTAGTGTAGACGTGCCCTTTAAGAGACTACATAAAACATTCCGTCTTATAACTGCTAGTGCCATGTTCCTCAATACACAGGCCTTGCCTACCTTGGCATGTTTCTCTGAAAATAATATGAATGTTAGAAACTGACACACATTTCTAATCTTTGTTATAAAATCAAGTTTGTGTAGGTTTGGTAAAGTATTATTTTCTCTTGGAATACGATCAAAAGAATCTACTCGGCAATACAAAAACAAGCTGAATGCTTCCAAGTAGGGTTTGAAACGTCATATCAAATCTATCTACATCCCCTCTGAATTGCACTCTTTGCAGCAACTGTTAGTCCAAAATATTGGATGGTACTGAGCATGTTGGTTAGAAAAAAATATTTCAAAATACTAAAAATGTAAATGTTAACAACTTCTATTCCAGTGCAGGGGATGATTCGCCAGTGTCTTTAGCAATAGTTCAAACTAGTATAAAAGACCACGGATTTTATTATTGCTGCTTGAAGAATATTTATGGAAAAGTGACTGCTGAATTTAACCTGACCTCGGAAGGTAAATCCCAGCACTCTGACTTTTAAATTATAAGAACAATGACAGATGCCATTTACATTCTATATTGCTACAGTGTCTTCCCTTTCATTCCCTTGCAGTAGTGAAACATCTTTCAAGTTACCAGGATATCGAAGGTAAATACATGTAATGTTTGTTACAACTTGGCACATTTTTGTCAATAAAATATAAATAAAAGCAACAATAAATTCATAAGTAAAAAGGTTATCAGAATTCTCATGATAAAAAAACAGGTTTGTTAGTTCTTTACATTGATCTGGTGATGCAAAGCAGCTGTAAAATGATAACCAGCTAGTTAAACCAAGATGACAGATGCTTGCAACATCAAAGTGGTGTAAAGCAGCCAGACTGTTCCAGTGAATCTGGCCCAACATATTTTATTTCTCTTAATGTGACAATAAATGAGCAAAACTGCCACTTTATTGATGATCCCAGAGATAAACCTATTGAACAAATTGTCAAACAAGAAAAACCAAAAATGTACAATTGCAGAGGTTTCATATACAAGTCAGATTGCACCTGCAAATCATAGAACACTAGGACTGGAAGGGACCTCGAGAGGTCATCGAGTCCAGTCCCCTGCTGTCATGGCAGGACCCAATACTGTCTAGACCATCCCTGATAGACATTTATCTAACCTACTCTTAAATATCTCCAGAGATGGAGATTCCACAACAACTTTAGGCAATTTATTCCAGTGTTTAACCACCCTGACAGTTAGGAATTTTTTCCTAATGTCCAACCTAAACCTCCCTTGCTGCAGTTTAAGCCCATTGCTTCTTGTTCTATCTTCGGAGGCCAGGAAAAACAAGTTTTCTCCCTCCTCCTTGTGACACCCTTTCAGATACTTGAAAACCGCTATCATGGCCCCTCTCAATCTTCTCTTTTCCAAACTAAACAAGCCCAATTCTTTCGATCTTCCTTCATAGTTCATGTTCTCTAGGCCTTTTATCATTCTTGTTGCTCTTCTCTGGACCTTCTCCAATTTCTCCACATGTTTCTTGAAATGTGGTGCCCAGAACTAGACACAATACTCCAATGAGGCCTAATCAGCCCAGAGTAGAGCAGAGGAATGCTTTCTTGTGTCTTGCTCACAACACTCTTGTTAATGCATCCAAGAATCACATTTGCTTTTTTTGCAACAGCGTCACACTGTTGACTCATATTTAGCTTGTGGTCCACTATAACCCCTAGATCCCTTTCTGCTGTACTCTTTACTAGACAGTCACTTCCCATTCTGTATGCGTGAAACTGATTGTTCCTTCCTAAGTGGAGCACTTTGCATTTGTCCTTATTAAACTTCATCCTGTTTACTTCAGACCATTTCTCCAATTTGTCTTGATCCTTTTGAATTATGATCCTATCCTCCTAAGCAGTTGCAACGCCTCCAAGCTTGGTATCATCCGGAAACTTAATAAGCCTACTCTGTATGCCGATATCTAAACCTTTGATGAAGATATTGAACAGAGCCTGTTCCAAAACAGATTCCTGCGGAACCCCACTTGTTATTCCCTTCCAGCAGAGTTGTGAACCATTAATAACTACTCTCTGGGAATGGTTATCCACCCACTTTATAGTAGCCCCATCTAAGTTGTATTTGCCTAATTTACTAATAAGAATATCAAATGCCTTACTAAAGTCTAGGTATATCACGTCCACCACGTCTTATCCACAAGACACAGCTTCTCCTTTATCCACAAGACTCATTATCCTATCAAAGAAAGTTATCAGATTGGTTTGACATGATTGTTCTTTACAAATCCATGCTGGCTGTTCCCTATCACCTTAAATGGTATATTAGGTGCCTGAACAGCTATGTTCAGACATTCAGTCACGATTCTAACAGTTCTCTCCCCCTTGATCAGAGGAATGAGCTGTTCTGTGTGATGCTGGGTGTTCTAGATTTAGGAACAGAATCAATCTTTTCACCACATCCTTTCAGTAAGAAAGTTATTTTTTTTAAATTAAAATCAGAGCATCCACAACAACTTGCACTCATCTCTGACATCCCAGAATCCCTTCATTTACGCACACCTGTCAAGATTGCAGTGGATGCAGTAGGAGTAGAAACATTTCAGTAAGCATACCCTTTAAAGCCAGCTACAAAAATGTGAGCCTTTTGTCTGTACTTACGATGAGCTTATGCTTTCAGTAAAAGCTACATGGGAGGAGAAAAACCTGAATATTTTAAAAATACGAGGCTTGTTTGGGTTACTAACACTCAGATTTACAATTTTTATAATACTATAGAAAAGCAGAGGTGGAAGGAACCTGGAGAGCTTACCAAGTTACCTAATCATACAGCAAAATCATCATAATAGATATTCCAATACATATTTAAAATGTCACACAGCTTGCTTTTCAAAAACTTTGATTAACAGAGGTAGGGTTTTTTGATCATATAGGCACATACTCTAATAATCCAAGATACACAAAGCATTTTACATTATCTTGGTGAATGCAGTAAATGTTCTTATCAGTAAAATTCAGGTCTGGAGTTTAAACATACCAGTATTCAGTAGCAGCTGAGCAGAGAATTTAGCCCATTTAGCCAGTTACAACAGTCTGATCGGGTTTGGGATTTTTTTCAAACTTCAGAGGTGTTCAGCACCAAAACTGTGACTTGGGTACTAACAGTTGCATAACTATAGGTTTGACAGTTCTCCTTAACCACTGAAGATAGGACAAGAAGCAAGGGGCTTAAATTGCAGCAAAGGTGGATATTAGGAAAAGCTTCCTAACTTTCATAGTAGTTAAGCACTGTAATAAGTTGCCCAGGGAGGTTGTGGAATCTCCATCCTTGAAGATATTTAGCAGCAGATTAAACAATTAACTTCCAGGGATAGACTAGATAATACTTAGACCTGCCATGAGTGCAAGGGACTCATAGATGTGCTAGGAATCTATGCTAGTGTTTCAAGGTGCAGCCAGACACACAGCACTCAGATTAGATTATTTTTGACCCTGAATCCTCTTTCATTGTACCATCAATACATGACAAATCATATTTTCCTCTTGTGCCAGAAATGTCTTCAGACCTTATAGATCAGTCAGCAGTACAACATTCCTTGATAACATTGCCCCTTGCTGTCCTAATAAAGGCAAAATTCCCCTTAAAGCTAATGGGAGTGTGCAGAATTGTGCCTTTTATGGAATTCCTGTAGTAGAAAACAGTTGGAGTTAATGCACAGATACTTTTGATGCATATCACTTCACACACAGTAAATAGTGAAATACCACTGCAATGTGTCATAGTAATAAAGATGAAGAAAAGAGGAGCAATAAAATATTCAGGCATAAAATTTTCCAGTGCTATTTGAACACATGGTATTTGCATTGCAAGTTGTCTGCTGTGTAACTTTACCCAAGGAGAAGGGCAAGGATTGAGATCTGGAATATTTTCCCCATGTGTTATCTTTTATTTAATCAGACCGGCACATCTTGCTATGCATGTGCTAAAGATAGACAACACTTTGCAAATTGGTTTATCATTTCTGAACATACTGTACTAGTCATCTACTTCATTAAGATGGTTGATTTTGTCTTGTTTCTCTTTGAAGAGAAATCTTTCACTTCCTCATTAAAACAAATGCAGAGCTTTTCATCTAGCAGTGCTGTATAACTTGATAAAACAACGGTAATTGGAGATAAGGAGCTCTTTTTATAACACAGTATATTTACCTACACTATTCATTCTTTGTTTCAAAGGAAGCCAAAGGTTTACATAGTCTAAATCAGAGATAACCACTATTTCTAAGTGGAAAGTCTGTACTGCACACTTTAGGTTTTCCTCTCTCACTTTTCTTCACATCAGGATAATTTGTACACACAGAGAGATGAGAGTAGTCCTCATTTTGCACAACTCTGCAGTAGGGTGACCAGAAAGCAAGCATGAAAAAATAAGCCTTTTTTCCCCAGGGAGTAAGGAGTATAATTGCCTACACATCCACTCCCCGTCTTATGAACACACCGACTTACGACCAACCTCCCGTTAACCCCATTATAATATTTTTGAGTTGAGAACCATGTACGTCAAGTTTTTTGAGCAGTCCAGGCAGCGCATTTAAGGGTATTTCCTACTTATGACCAAACCGAGTTACGACCAGGTATTCAGAACGTAACCTGTTTGTAAGTCAGGGACTGCCTGTATAAGATAAACCCCCTAATATCAGGACAGACCCTATAAGATTGGGAAAGTTCAAATAAAATTGAGACATCTAGGTCACCCTACTTGGCAGATCTGAAATCCAGGTCAAATTTTTAGTTCATTTTCCTCTACAATCTTGCCCCTTCCCCCCATTTCAGTTTTTTTCTTCTACTTTTTTTTTATTATTATTATTATTTCCCTGCTTCTTCTTCCTTCTTTCTACATTTTGTCTGTATTTTCATGGTAATATTATTCCAGACATTTAGAAATTAAAGTCAGTAACTCTGTGATTTTATTCAATTTTAACAAACACTAAGCAGATGTTCATCATCTTGTTATGACCTCTAAAATCCAGAGGTGACTGTAAAAGAAATCAAGGCTCTGATTTATGCCTAGTGAAGTCAATTGCGTTACCGTATGGATAAATGTGACAATATTTTATGGAAACCTGAGTCTACACAAAACCACCTGTAGAATATAAGTCACAGAACCATGGAAATGTGGGACTGGAAGGAACTTGATAGGGTCATTGAGTCCAGTCCCCTGCACTGAGGCATAACTAAGTATTACCTACTCGACCATCCCTCTAGTCCTTTTTTTATCTTCTCTCATTTCTAATCAATCCTTTAATCTGCTGCTTATCAGCTATAAAACATAGCTACTCAAGAGACATGATTTAGCATGTAACTTTACAACTCTGGGACTATATTGTAACTTTACAACTCTGGGACTCTGAAAAAATATTATTGATGTTCTAATTATTTATATTATGGTAATACTTGGTCAGATTTGGGGCTTCCTTGAACCAAGTGCTGTATAAACACACACACACGGATAACTATGGTCTCTGCACTGAAGAAATCTGAAAGCTAAAATTAATATTTAAACATTGTTTTTCAAATTGTAAAATAAGCTAACGCAGAATTGAGAACTCCCACCTGACTTCAGACTTTTCTAAAAAAATTAGGCCCGATTGCCAGGCAGGCAGGGTGTGCAGTCACCCTGGCATACAGTTAGGCATGTGTGTCTGTTTTGTATATTAAGGTTCTCAAGCAACCCTAGTAGCTTCACAGACATTTGAAGATCTAGTTCAAAATTGCTTTTTAAAAATCCATTGTGGATTTGCTCCAGCCTACATCATAGAACTTGTAGCTCTCTCCTGCCCTCTCAACTCCATATGACTCCCTCTCTGTCCCTTCACTGTATCTCAGCATTGCTTTTCTTCTGTCTCTCTCAATCAAAATAGCCTTTTTCCCACCTCTTTCCCCTTTTTTGTCCTCACTCTTCACAGTCTCTTGCTTTGCAATTTACTTTGTATGTGGAAAGATGTTGTGCAGAACACAGTTTCCTTGTGATTTAGGTTTGGAAGAGATTGAGTTCATTCAGCTCATATTCAGAGAAGACTTCATCACTGATAGCTATTTTGGTGGCAACCTGCATGGAAGAATAGCAACAGAAGAGTTACACTTTGGCGAAGGAGTGCACCGGAAAGCATTTCGAAGTAAAGTGATGCAAGGCCTTGTGCCTATCTTCAGCCCTGGTCATCCCTGTGTTCTTAAAGTGCACACTGCTATTTCATACGGGACCAAAACCAAAGATGAACTTGTTCAGAAGAACTACAAACTAGCAATGCAGGTAAAGTCCATTTTCCTCTGTCAACCAATGTTGTGGGAAGAGCTGGCTTTGAAATTTTCAAACAGCTGGCTGTGTTAAATGTTTTCAGTAATACT